TAAATATCACAAAACATGTTGACTCTTCTGCACCAAGTACAAAAAAAAAAAAAAGGTTAAAAATATTCTAGCCATAACTGAATGTCAAGCAATAAAAACAAATGACTTTTTGTGCATAGATTTAAAAGAAATACAAGTTTTAGACATCTGCATGTAAATGCAAATCTCTTGTTTACTGCTTTCTTAAACTTGAGCAACTGATTCCTTATTTTACTACTAATTTAAGGACTTGTAATGGCCTGTAAACATTTTATCTTGCTCTATTCTTTCAACTCTAACTTTGTCTCTGCTTTGGAGTCATAATACTTAATGTTGTTCTGCTCACCTCTATACAGTTAACTTTTTGCTTTCATTCTGTATAGATAAAATTATACTATAAACAGCCTACACAGTGCAAATATTTATCTGTTTATCAAATACCACATTATGCTGTATAATATCTGTTTTACTATATAATCTATTTTAGACATAGCTGTTTAGAACTAGAGTGTGCTATTTTTGTGTTTTTCTGATGTGTGGTGCTAGATAAGTTACTTTTGTGAACAAAAACAAACAAACCCCTTTTATTCCTAGACAATACCACCTTTGGGTCTTGTTAATTTCACTGAGTATAACTATATATAAATATATATATTTGTGTATATATATATATACACCAACATATGCCCAACAAGTACCTGTATCAGAGTACAAGATTTGGGACATGGTTTTCTCTTTAAATGCATAGTGTCATTATATAAATTATTCTATAGTATATTTAATAAGGAGAAAATTACTTCACCGGTACAGATACTTGATATCAAATGTAGAATTTTTTTCTACATTATTAACATTATTAATTATTAATGTTATTAAAATTGTTCTGTCCAGCTTGTTATCTTTTGGTTACTAAAACAGTCTGCCTGTATTGTATTAAAAATAAGAAAAACATCTAATCTGCCAGTATAAAATAATTACAAAATGCCGTCTGTCTGAAAGGGAGGTAGCTATTTGGCTTGTTGGGAGAATTCTATCCTGTTGTTACATTGGAAGTTTATAGATGTTATTCTGCTGGGTGCCTTCCTCCCTCCTCACTTTAAATAGGATCTGTACACGCCCAGACTGCGGATGTTACTGGGCCATGCCTACACACTTAACTCCAGATACTGTAAATAGGAATGTTCTGTAAATCTGCCGTGATGGATGGCTAAATTCAGTCCCTGGATATGCTTTATACATCCTGCATACATATCCAAGGACAGTCAGTAGCAACTAAAGTTAATTAAGAAGTGGAATTTGCAACGTTTTGTCAGGTATGGGGGTTTTGTTTTTATTTTTTCATGTATACCTTAATTTACGTAGTCTTATACCCTTCAAAATATTCCTATCCCCCTGTTCCTTTCATTCTAGATATTTTCATGTTCATTCTTAAAAACTGATGGATATCAAATATCTAACTAAGGAGGTAATTAACCTTTTAAATATTTATTAGAATTTTTCTGTAATATTACTGAATTTATAAGATCTTTAGCAAAGATTTTTGAGCAATTTATTAATAACAATGTTTCTGTTTACTGCACTTTTTGATAATAGAAGGTAGTGAATTTTAAAGCCATGGTTCTTGGCTTCCATGCACTGCTTTTATACCCTCAATCCAAGGAATATATATATATAAATAATTTTTTTTAAACAGCAAACATACTGTTGACCTAAAAACAAAAACAAACTTTACTGCACCATGGGTATATTTTCGTAAGTGGAATGTTTAACTGCAAACACTATCAGGACAATTATAAAAACCTCTTGAATCTACAATCTTATTTAAATATAAGCCATGACAATTTTGTTTTCCCTTCTTGATTTAAGTCACCTTTTGATATTTTCAAAGAGAGAAGGACTCACTCTTAAATTTGTACGTACCAACCTATAGGTAATGCCAGGAACACATTCTCCCTGTTGTTTTAAGAGTTTGATATATTTATGCAAAACCATTTGGTTAACATTTATCCTCCCTCTTTACTAAATGTTCAACATACCAACGCCAGAACAAATGCTGATTACAAATATACATCAGATTGAAGATGAAGCACACAGACTTAAAAACCTCGTTGAGTGATATGCTCAAATTTCTGTAAATACACACAAGTTTAATGCAATTATACTGTACATGTAAATATGTGCTGTCTGTTATGTGTACAGTATGTATAAATTCCTTTTCTAGCCACAATAAAATGTAAGCCATCAAGAGGATGTGGTATTGTACTAAACCTTTGCTAATGATCTTTACCCAGTCACTTCACTTCTCCCTTCCATAGACCTTTCCAACTCACGATAGCCTGCTTATATTCAAGTTTGTTATTTTCCTCGGTCCCGAAAAAAGTATTTTGATTCATTTTGTAAATATGACTGTAAAAATAAGAGATTTAATGTTGTCTTTTAAATACTCCAATTTTCATTCTAATATGAATGTTGTTATATTGTACTTAGAAACCGTACCTTTAATATTACATTACCTTTATTAAGTGCATTGAACACATCGATTTTAGATGTGCTTTATGTACTCTTATCCTGTAATAAAACTTCAGCTTCTAATGGAAAAATCTGTCTTAATTTTTTTGTCAGTATCATCTTCCTCATTTTTCTGAATTATAGTTTATTAGGTTTATTCCTTAAGGAATGCACTGATGCAAAATTAGACTACACATATATTAGAGCTGGTTGAGCACATACGCTGTGCTTTGTCAGCAGCAGGGAAATGAGATGACCCCCAGACACCTCTTAGGCTCCCCTTTTGGCCAACGAGAGCTTTAAACCTCCTCAGAATGAACGTGGATTAACGTAGCTTCCCTCTGTTTGAAGGTGCCTTGTTTGAAACCACAGTTCATTGCATCAAGTGCAAAATACAAGCAATTTGGCACAAAACCCTCCCAGTGAGCACTCCCAGCAGAAACACTCCTTTAGGTGAGATCTAAATGAGGATTTGGTTATTAAAATTGAAGTTTTAATACAATTTAGACATCAAAAGTCAAAGGTGCCACTCCCCTCTGCTGTGCTAACTTTGGGAATACCTGAATGTGTCAGCAGCATGCTTGGTCTTAAGACTTCAGGCATGTGAAATTCTCCTTCTGCACCTACTCAGAAATGCCTCAAGTCTTGACAGAGCTTTTAACAGCTTAGTATTCATATGCCTGACCATGATCCAGAATTAGATTCTAGCATTCATCTTTGAAGCACTGTATCTGGAAGCAGCCTTCACCTACAGATCAACTCTACAAAAAAAGTAGTGTAAGTGATAACTCCTAGAATGGGAGCACTAAGCAGTGCCATGTGTTCTACAGCAGCTCCATGTCTACAGCAGAAAAGACACTGAAAAACAGATTTCATTTTCTTATCCTCAGGACATGATCCTGCCCAGTTTTCCCAGACACGGGAGAGTTCCTAACCATCAACATAGAGGTTAGGGAACAGCTTTGTAAAAAACTGTATAGTTCTATCTAAAACCCAGGAACTTTTCTGAAGTGAGACAAACTGAAGACTCCCTCATGTGCCTGCCCATAAGAAAACTATTAGGAAAGCTGAACTGTACATGAGGAGGTGGTGGGTTTGACCTCTGATTATTTCACAGAACCACAAAACTGCTGAGGGTGACACAGACTTCAGAGGTCACAAGCAAGGTGTCCTCGAACTGGTTGCCCATGACCATGTCTAGCTTTTGAATATTTCCAAGGATGGTGACCTGTTTTGTCACCCTCACAATGGAAACCTATTTCCTGATGTTCATGTGTGTGTCATGGAAGTACAAAGATCACCAGTAAGGAGTAGCAGTATTTTATTAAAAAAAAAAAAACAAGAACAACCAACCAACCAACCAACCAACCAACCAGATACTGCAGGTTTTAGAGAAATTTAGCCTGAAGTAGGATTTAAGCTGCTACATTCACCAAGCTTTCTCATAATTCAGAATTGTTAGCATACCTGGGTTGGGAACTCAGATCACTCCTTCCAAGGGCAGCTGGGTTCTGGGTAGATCTATCCTGGGAGAGAACACCCTTCTGCTTCTCTAAGATAAATCAGGAGGGCAGAATTAAAATCACTATCCTTAAAACTGATCTGTAAGCAAGCTGAAGACTCCCTTGTTTGGTGGGTTTGGAAATGAGTCTGAATCGTCCCTGGGTTTTCCCAGAGATTTGTGTAATGGTGCCCCACTCTTATCACATGACACCAGGGACACGCTCTGGCCTCATCATTCCCCCATCCTTAGAGCAGTGACCGGCATCACCTTGTCATCTAACATCACAAGTAAGTGAGTTTCCATCACCCAGACTATGGGTTCTGAGAATACCCGAATTCCAAATTTTACCCCACCGGGAAGCCTGCCTATCCATTAAAAAAAGATTTTGCGGCGCTGCTCAGGAGAAGTGAACCAGAGAAACTGAACACCTAAAGAGAGGAAGGAAGCTGCTGAACGTAGCTTCCTCTATGGGACACCTCACCTCCAACCCCTCAATAACAGGCTGCCCCCCTACCTCTGCACACCCAGAGCGGGAGGAGCCACCCGGTATACCCACCCTCTACCTAGGGCCCCACCTCTGAAACACCCGGGGAGGGGAGGGATGTGCCGCCCAAGACCTCCACCTCCCGGCCAGACCACGCCCTGGAACACGCACTACACAGCTCCGCGCCATCATACGCCCCGCCCGCCACAAAATGGCGACCGCACTCTGAGGCAGTACTCCAGCCCGTGTCTCTATTGGCTGGCTCAGAACACCTGACCCATGCGCCGGGCGCTGATTGGCCAGTGCCCTGAGGCGGGCTCGCACGGCGCTGAGACGAGGAACCGCCAAGTTGCTGCCCTGAGGGCTTTGCCAAGATGGCGGCCGAGGGGCCGCCGCTGACATGGTGAGCGCGTGTCCTCTCTTTGGGCGGCCTGAGGCGGGGGCCGCGGACGCAGCTCGGCGGTGCCCCGCCGGGAGCAGAACGGGCGGAGCTCCCGGGGAGCGGGGCGGGCTCGGTTCCCGCCCCGAGGGCGCGTGCGCCATTCCCCGTGGCTCCCGCCGCGGGAGCCGGAGGAGCGCGGGCGGCCCCGCTCGTACCTTTCACAGTAGTTAGGGAGGCTGGGGTTGTATAAACCCTGCTCACTTGAACGGCTGTATTAGAAAAAAATAAAAGGCAATAGAAAATCAAATTAGCGTAAAAAACCCCAAATCTTTTCTGAATAGCTAAAACTGATGTAATTTTCTCAAAAATTCCAGCGATTTCAACCCCAAGTTTGTTTTTGATTCATGAACCTGTGAAAGAGTGAAACTTCATCAGAATTTCTCTCACTATACCTAAAATTGATGTCTTGTATTTATTAAGTTCTTTTGTTCTGTGCATAATATATATTTTACTATCAAAGAACATAAGGCATTAGTACAAACCTAACTTCCATAAAGAGGAAATCTAGAACAAATATGTAGATGCCTTTTTTTTTTTTTTTGTCATATAAAATAATTCCTGTTTTTGTTTCTCAGGAGCAGCTGTGACCTTTAATTTTTCTTTTGCAATAGATTTATTTTAAAATTTTATTTTATTAGGGATATTCCACCAAAAAATGGCCAAGAAGTATTTTTCTCCCATGAACTTTATGAAAAATATTCCTTGTCTCTGAGCCTCTCTGAACTCTGGCATTTATCAAACAGGTATATTATTTTACCATTTTCTGCTATTTGTTACCGTGCTATGGGTACATCCCTGCAGTGTTTTGGGGAAAGCTGCGTGTTTCTGGCACACAAGGATTTGTTACAGCTGTTGGCCTGTGCTTCGTTGTGAAACCTCAGAGAGCAGGAGGAATCCAGGTTGAGTGCTTTGCTCTTGGAAATGAAATTGTGAATACAGGTGGTACAGGTAGTGTTGTTTTTGCACTTTTGGTGTCATTTTTGTATTTTCTTAGGTTGAGGAAGTAGAATAACATTTATTTGATATAGTGAAAAGTGTGGCCCATGCTTCTGGGTTCTCAGCATTTGGAGGATTGTATTTAGACTCCTGGTTTAAGGAGTTATTAAGCTGATAAGGGAGGTGAACATGACACCTGGTGCATGAACCTTCACTCTGGGAGGAGTGTGGATGGGAAACCGTGTAAGTGGGGAGTTCAGCATGTGGGGAAATTGTTCAGAAGGGGAATAACTGTGTTGTTATGAACTGACAATGAGAGTGTGCATTTGAGGGCCTGTTCCATCACATGGCTTCATCTCCCATCTTTAGCTAGAGAACACTGTTTTGGTTCATACCTTTTGGAGCAACTTTCTGTCAACTGGCAAGATAAGAGCACAGCCTCACAGCTTGTTACTGGCACATCTGATACTGCTGTGGGATTCTTCCTTAGAAGAGTTTCTAAGTGGACACTCAAGAGTGGGGATTGTGGCCAGCTGTGTGTGGTTTGAGTGGGTTCACAGCCAGAAGAAGCCAGAGAGGTTGCACCTGGTAAAAATCAGAAATGGATGGAGCTGGCTTGTGTGACCAGAGTCAAGAGGAAGAGAAATTACAACTGTTGAAGCAAGTGTAGAATTAAAAGCTGGAGGAAATTTGCTAATTTTGGGGAGTTTCTCATAGATATTTACAAAAGTGCACGTTCTCTTGGTGCAGAAGCAGTGAGAGCGGGTTGCTGATAAAATGAAGGGGAAAAATTTAAGCCGTCAGCTCAAATAAAGTATAATGCTGTAAATATGGACAGAAAAGCTCTGTCAGATTATTTTGGTTTGCACCCCAATGAAGACTGTGACAGCAGTGCATAGTGAAATGATCTTGATGTGCTGCCATTTCATTCAGTGCTGAATATAGCCAATTTAAGCTGCTAGAATTTCTTGATGTTCTTACACTGGCATATCTGAGTCAGCATCTTGTTGCTGCTACAGCTTAATTAAATTTGCCAGGTTGTGCCACCAGGATGGACACATTCTCATATTTACAGAGACAGCTGTGAAGTGTTATTAAGAACTATGGATGTGATACTACTGGGTTTGAATGACACTTGAGCTGTTTTCTACTGCTGAAATAGTATCTTAAAAATATGCTTTTTCCAAGATCAGCAGTTAATGTTCATTTTGTTAGCCTTAAATATTTTCTCTCTTAAGTAACATTATTTTAAATATACTAGGGCTACGCTGCTTGACCTTTGTTTACTGGAGCTGTTTTAAGAATGAGCTTTATTTTACTTCATTATTGTTGTTAGAACAGCCATGCCCCTTGCCCTAGTCTACTGTTATTTTTGGTGACTGATTCCAGCATTGTTTAGAGTAGAAAATTAAATACTTGATTTGTGTATGCTGTAAGAATTTCTTCATTGAAATCTGGAATTTCTGTTGTTACAATTAAGTAATTTTAATTTTCTTCTTCTGCAGTGAAGGAAAGGCTTTTTCTAGTCAAATCTTTCTCGTTTACTATCAGAACTGACTGACAAGTCTGACCTTTCTGAGTGCAGTTTCTGAACAGTGGTCAGCAGTGACTGATGAAATGTGGTGATTCTTTATCCTTTCATTAATAATGTGTGTTTCTAGAACGAAGAATGTGTTTCATATTTAGCTTGTTAACACCATTAAAAAAATAAAAATAAAACCCTACCTTTTTTGTTTGCTTTTAAACCAGTTGCAGACCTGCTGCTGGAACTAAGGGTTAGTCTGATTGTACTGGTGAAGTTTTAGAATAAGAACAGTCCACTGGTACAGATTGGAATTGGAATAACAGTGTTTCTCAGAGCAGTTCAGGCTTGACTGGCTGCCTTTATTATTTCTGACTAATATTAGTATTAATGTGAAAGCTGTAGATTTGTTCATTTGTTACTTTTTTTTCAGAGAGGCAAAGAAAAATGTGGAGGCATTGGCAAACTCTTCAGAAAACAGACAGGCTTGTAGCATGCAGGCTGCAGAGTCACTTGAGGGGGAGGCTGAAAGCCCAGCTGATGAGCATCCTCTCCCAGAACCCAGACTCCCCTATCCATTCACCTCTTGTTTGACTGAGAAGGAGCAGAAGACTTACTTGTATCTGATGACTAAGTTCTCAAAAATAAGAAACCATTTCCAAGTTAATGAAGCAAGCCAAAGGGAATTTTTCACATATATGGTAAGATGAACATATGACCATCACAGAGGGAGAATAAAGGAAAAGGGAAACATTTCTTTTAAGTTCAGTTTGTTGTAATGAATTTGTCATAGAATTCATTGTCTTATGAAAGGTAGTAAAGGTTTGAAGTATTCAATATAAGCTTTAATAAAAATTGAAAGTGTATTTGGTAATTTCATTGAAATTGGGGTTTTGTGGCTTTTTTGTTTTGTTGTGGCTTAAGTGATCTGAACAGATGAGGATAAGTGTAGATCTTTCAAAACTGACCAAACAGCCCTGCAGTCCCCAAAAACCCCTTTCTTTCTGAGGAGGATGTTAAAAGTTGTCCTTACTGTGATTTTAGCATTTCATAGTGGCATGTAGCAGTCTTAGGTGGTGTTAAGCTGTGGATGCACTTTGATGAGATGTTTGCCAGCTGTGGGAGCTTTGTTCATTAGCAGGGGAGGGTCCTGTGTGCTGCCCTGCTGTGCTCACACAGGGGAAGGGCTGAGCTCACCCTGCTGCTGAGCCTCAGCAGAGCTTTTAAATGGGCACCTTCCTGTTGGGTGGGAGGATCATTTTAGTTGAGTCCTGTAATGTAATTATTTAGCAAATAATTTTGAGCCATTGCATTTGGTTTCCTGTGCTTCCTTATTAATTCTATTTTCTTTATTTTATGCTGTAACAATGGAAATATTGTTTCCAGACACATCAGTAACTACTGTGTTGTTGTTACTTATAATTTCTTATTAAATCAGAACTCAGATATATTTGTGACTTTGCCATGTCAACTTCATCAACCATGTCTTGTAACCTCTCTATAAATCACTGTATCAAAGGAAACTCGCTGTTTGTTGGGGATGGTGTGTTGTTGGTTTGGGATTTTTTTAAAGTATATGAGTCTTGCAAAAAAAATTTTTTACTTTAGTGAAACTGAACACTTGTCAAATTGATTAGCAAGTGGAATCTATTCCTTCCCTCATATCATTACCCATACTGTCTCTCTGGAAATTTTGTTGGTTACATATTTAGTATAGAGGATTCCATTTTGTCTTAAAAATAGATTTTTCCTTCCCCTAGCAAATGAAAGAAGTAGTAAACAATGAAATTGCAGAATTTATGAAATTTGCCCAAAACGCTGCAAAGAGCTGTGCCCAAGATTATGATGCCATTTCTGAAGATGCCCTGCGTTATACTGAGGTAATTACCAGTGCCATGCTTAATTCCAGCCCTTCTTAAAAAATCATCTTGGGCTCATGATCAGGGTAGGTAGAAGTGCTCAAGGGATGTGATGTTCCCTGCCCTGCTGACTGTTGTTGGGATGAGATGGGGATGTGGCTGTTCTCCTACACTGCAGTGGGGCTTGGCCCGTGGGTCATTGGAGCCAAAAAGATGTCATAGAAGAAATCACCGCAAAAATATTTATTCATCAGATAAATAAACTACTTCTTTACATTCAGGAAAGGAGGAGCTGCTTTTTAAGTGTGCATTTCCATTAAGAAGTAGCTTCTAGAATGTTAAGCTTACCTCCACAGGAAAGCTTAGTAGCATGTCACAGTAGCATGTTATAAAGTGACTTTAATTGGAAGTTACTCAGGCTTTAATCATAACCCTCTGCAAGTTCATGCTGTGTTAAATATCCACTTTGATGATTCGAAGATCAAACATGAATACAGCTTCATGAATCAGTCTTGGGTTTATAGCATGGTTGTGAAAAAAGTTCATTAAACTTTCCCATTACTGGGTTAACACAGAGTTTGGGCACATGTGAAGACAAGCCATCTTGCTTTCTTTTTATTTTGCCCCTTAAATATTGGGATTGGCTTTGCAATTTTGTATCTTGTTATCTGGTCACAAAATTTGTCTTCAGACTAAAAGTCCTATTTATTGTTAAGAAAATGAATATAAAAATTAAATAGAGGCCCATATTTTGTTTTAACTAATACTTGCAGTAATAACTCATTCGAGTTACTAAATAAAATCTAAATGTCCTAAATGCCTAATTTTTGTATTGTCAAAAATTATGTAGAGTTGACATGACAGTGAGTTTCAACACAAATGGAACCATCCTATGCCTTTACCTTTGTGACTTTTGCCTAGGCTTAGTGTAGGCTGGGTGGTAACACAAAAAAAAATTACTTCCTCTAAAAGCCAAGATAAATAACTGAAGAGAAAATTACTTGATTTAGCATATTTCAGACTGTACTAAACTGCATGTTTTTAATGATTGGCCTGAGTTGTGTGCATACATTGTCAGCCTTGCTTATGAAGGGCTGAGGAGAATCTGGAATAAATTGCAGTGATTGTGAGAGTATTATAGATCTCTATTGGTACCTGTAAGTTTTTAAATGCCACTTGAAATTACAGAAAAAAACTTTTCAAAATTAAAAATTCCCCCCAAAATCCCCCTTTCTTATGAAAGATACAAATGCATAAATCATTTTTCTTTTTGTGTTAGGAATTGCTACATGCATGTATTGGACATGTGCAGAACTATCCAGAGTTTTACACCCTGCAGGAGATCATGAGTATCATGGGAGGAAAGTTTTATACACAGCTGACCTTTAAGCTGGAAAAAAATCTTCTTGCAATGGTAATACCTTATGTACACAGATTGGGTTTGTGGGGGTTTTTAAGTAGAATTACATCAGAGTTGTGTTAGGCAAGGATTAGAGATTTTTGCAACTATTACTCAGTTCTTGAGTTAGAGGTTATAATTTATAATTTAAATTATTAATTACAACTTTAATAAAATTATTTTGGTAGTAAGTCTGTTAACCCCTTTTCACCAGATGTTTGCCATAAAAATATTACATTAATACTATGTTTTCTCATATCAGGTAACTTTATAATGGATCTGTGCAAATTTCTAATAATTTTCTTAATAAGAAATGCAGGGTTAGGTGAGCATGATTGCTGTGAAAGCTATTTTTTGATGCTGCTTGATTTCCCCCAGGGTACAGCAAGACGTGTTGAAACAGATTTCCATTCCATGCCTGTTCAGCTGCCCACTGATTATAGCACTGTTGCATCTATTATAACCCCAGAAAAAAAGGCTTGTGTTATGCATAATGTAAGTAACCTTTTTATTGTTATTTTTAAGGCATATTTTTTACAGAAGTGCAATCTGATCCTTTTTATGTGTTGAACAGTTTTTAGACTGCTTTGGACCATTAAATAGCTGGTATTTCTGTTTGTGTTCTTCTACTGCAAAAATCAGGGAGTTTTCATTCTGTTGAACTGAGGTTTTTGACTGTTTATTCCACATAATTTTTTATCAGTTATTTTAAGGAGTTTCTTCACATATCAAAAATCAATCTTTAGACAGAAGCACTGTAATTTCAGAGCCACTTGGTGAAGAAAGGAGCAGAAGTGATGCAGGAGAAGGGCATAAGCCTCACAGATGTTAGTGCTGTAAACAGAGCCCTTCTGATGATGTGTGAGGTGGCAGGAAAAAGAGCATAGCTGGGTTTTTCTTACTTCTCTCATGGTCCTCAATGCTCCTGGGCTCCCATTGTCTTCTTAGTCCTTGATTATGTTCTTCAACCTCATAAGCATTCCCAGCCTCTTTGCTGCATGGAAGTGTATACTTGTAAAATTTAACAATTTTATTATTCCAGTTCTGAATGTGTATTCTTGATGGGTTTATATTTTTTTTAAGGTTCTTTATAGCTAATCAATATTGAAACAGCTGTGCAGTTTCAACCATACTTCAGTATTAGATTCTTTATTGTACTATAGCTTAACTCCTAAGAAGACTTGTTGTGTATATTTGTGGGTTAATCTGGTTTGGGAGATTTTTTTTGCTCCAACACACTCCCATATTTTATGATAATCTAAATTCCTGTTCAACCTAGTAATTCAAATGTGTCTAAATTAACTGAAAACACAAGTTAAAAAGATGTATTTTCTTATGCTGCAGAGTGAATGCGTTAGATTCAGCTGAAAACCTTCAGGGATTTTTTTTTTTTTTCTGCTTCATTTCATATTGAAGCCTGGCACTCTGGACTTTTTGGAGGGGGTAGGGGTTGTATATATCCATTTTTGGTTGGGTTTGGAGTTTTTCTTGTAAATTTAAATTTGGGATTTCTTAAAATAAGAACTTTGGTAGAAATAACATTTTTTTTCTCTTTAGAATATTAGTTCAGATTCAAATGCAGAAAAACTTGCTTTGAAATATTGTCCTCAAGTTGTTTTAAGTAATCAGGCATTATTTACTCTACTGAATAATCATGGACTGAACTACAAGGAACAGTGGGAAATTCCAGTTTGTGTTAAAATGGTCACTGTTGCAGGTATGGGATGTTTTTGTTATTAAAACTATGGCGAGGGTGGGGGGGGTTTGTCCAAGAAAGCTGGAAAGCTGGTCCAGGGACAACCACCATAAACTGTTGAATTTGGACATGCAACTATTTTCCACCTGGGGAAAAAAAGCCAAACCCAAAAAGCAGTTAAAATCAGTTTTTCTTTTCAAAACTGTAAGTTGTTTTTCTTGGAAGGAAAACAACTGCATGAAGCTGTTACAAGTGAACTGATTTCAGTAAAATATAAAACCAGAGAAATTCTGAAATTTTATGAAAAAGCAAAGGGCAAACATTTTCTGGAATTAAAAGGATCTGTTTACATCATAGCATAGTAAATAAGGAATGAATGTCCATGAAGGTAATTTTTTCAATTGCAGCAGAAAGTGTTTTAATAAATTGAAACCTGGCTGTTTTACTTTCCTTGTCAAGCACTTCTTCAGTAATCTGAACATAAATTTCCTCCCTTACACATTTTTTTTTTAAACACAGTATGGTTTATTCAAGTATTTGTAATGTTTGTTGTGTTGGAATGTCCTTCTGTGCTTATACAAGTTTCTATACCAGACTTACAGATACTAAATAAGCTATCAAATACCTGCAACCTTTACAAATTTTCACTTTCCTGTGGAAATTAAATTACTTTATCAGTAAAGATAATGCCTGACTCCTTTTGTAACAGCATTACAAATTTTTAAACTTAATTTTTGGATCCAAAATTAACACCTAAAGGGCATTCAGGTGGTGGTAGAAATACATCGTGGTTCTTGAAGGGTTTCCTTGCACCTTGCTTTTCCATGTTTCCCTGTAACCAACCCCTTGCTGTAACTTACTTTTGTTCATAAAACAGGGAGGCTGTGTTCACCATGTGCCTTGGCTTTCTCTGCTGTGATGGGCAGGGTATTGCTTTTATTTTTTATTTTTGAGTGATTCATATGTGTAAGTGTGTTAAGGTGCAAAGGAGTGGGGCAGCAGAGCCCGGACAGAGTTAAGTGATTAGAAGAGAAAGAAACAGCAGCTATCACTTGGGCAATGAGACTTAAGAAAAATAATTGACTTTCAAACAGGAAAGAAGAAAAGATCTTTTTGGAAAACAGGATACATTTGATGATGCTATATGGGAAATGATGAATCCTCAGTTCTTATTTTATAAATTCTCTACTTAGAACTGCATTTGAAATACAGTCAGCTATTAATGTGGTGTGTATTGCTGATGCAGGATCATAATAATTCACACCATATCTGGACATACTTTTATCTTCTGTTGTTAATGAATGAAAGGATCATTCTTTATTTCTTCTGTTGTGTATGTGCAGTGGATTTGACTGTAATTAGAAGCTGGGAGATTTATTATTTGAATTACATAAGTCTTTCTTCCTTTCATTTAATATGTGCTCAATCTCTTTTCATTCTTGAAAAGGTAGCAAACCAGCTAAAGTGGTTTATGTTGATCCACCTCTGCTAAGAAAAGAAATGACAGTACGAGAGAGGAATCAAATGTTCCATGAAGTTCCAATGGATTTCCTAGCAACTAAAACGTCTTATGTTCCAATTTCTGATGTATCAATGGACAAACCAACTGAGGACAACCTGTTTCAGTGGGATGTATGTAGATTCACATGTTCTTAAAAATAAGCAAAACCAAATTCTGTGTTAAAATTCCTAAGTTGCTTTTCCTGTGGTAAAGAGAAATTTAGGTTTTCTGTTGGTGGTTTTTCTCTTGCTGAGTTATACCCTGTTAGAAAACAACTGTCTAGTTCCATGCTTCTATATGGGTATCTCGGCTTTAATGTTTATTTCAATAAAATGTCTTTTGATCAGTTTGCTTCAGTGGAAAAAGTTTTGTGAATTTTTACTCTTTAGAAAGGCCTTTCAACTCATAGGACCCAGGATATTCAACAGTAAAAAAGAAAAATTGTTTTTCAATTTTTCCATTACTGCTCCTTTTTCCTAACAGTCAAATATGGATGGTAGAACATTTTTTTGTGTTTTCAGTTTGGCAATGTCTTGTTTCCTGGTTTGTTTTATTGTTTTGGCATTTTTTAATTTTATGACTTTCTCATCCCTGTGGTAAGGTGTGTTCTGACACCTACCAGTGCAGGACAGTTCCTCCTCCAGATGACACAGGGATGGACTTCGATGATGATCTTACAGAGCTTGAAACTTTCGGAGCAACGACCAAGCTCTCAAGAACCTGTAAAATGGAAACTACTTTTCCTGCAGCTACTAACACTGCTAAAATTTTATCTCATGGTCTAAAAATTGAGGAGAAGAATTCATCTACCATAAACAAAGGAGATGAAGATGAGAAAAACACCCTTTCTGAGCAAGAAGGTTCAGCATGTGCCAGTATGCAGCTTCCATCATTAGATGGCACGCCATGCTTCAGCTCTCAAGAACATTCTCCTTGTAAAAGCTTTCAGTCAGCAGAGGTAGGACTGAGCAAAGCACTGGATGTCACGACCAATGAATTATTGGACAATGAAACAAAATTAAATCCTGTATCTGTTGCAGTGAGTTCTGAGAACGAGCCTGATGCTGCACAGGAAAAAGAGACTTACACTTCTTCATGTGGTAGTGACACAGATGAAGAGCGTTTGGTGATTGATTCAGAATGTGAAACCACTGCTTCTTGCAAGTCAGCAGAGACTGCCAGATCTCCTTGCCCTATCCAGAGTCCTTTAGCAAGCGTCAGTGGCTGCTCAGATACCATGGATCAGGGGAAAAAAGCCTCCAAGAAACTTCCAAGAAAGTTATCCAAAGAATTGGATCCCGTTGGGCAGATTTTGAAAATGCAAGCTGAACTTCTCAAGTCCCCTTCCCAAAAAGCTCATGAGCCAGTGGTGAGCTCTGATAATTCTAATGCTGTGCCAGCCCAGCTGCCTCAGTCTCCAAAAACATTGGTGACGTCCAACACAGAAACTGTGCCAGCCCCAGCCTCCAATCCCCCCGGCTCCTCTAGGAATACCTGGACGTGGCTTTTTGAGAGCATGCCAAAGAGTAAGTGTGGTCATTATGTAAGGAGGAATATCTAACCCAACGTGTCAATAGTGCTTCTCTTACATCTATTTAGAGACGTGGCTCAAGTTAACAGTACCTTTTCTGTGTGGGAATTACTGTCTTGCACACAGAAGGGAGCACTGGGAGATGTTTGTTCACAGAGGTGAATGTGAAGTACTGTTTTACTGTAGAGAAATAAGTTGTTATACACAAGGTTCTTAAGAAGATAACTCATTCCACTGCCAAATTATTTATTTTTGCATGGAAATTTAAATATTTGAGTAGTCTAGTCTGCAAAAGTAGTTTCTTGTCAATCAAAAGTAGAATTATTTTAATTTTTTGTAGAATAAAAATTAATCAAATTATGCAGTTAAAAATAGGGGGAAAATCAAATTTGTATATCTTAAGTTTGAGCTTCCTGCTTCAGCTGCTTTTGCTTAACTCTCAGCACTCTGTCCCAGAAGGCAAATGAGGATTTGCTACAATCCACCTGTCCAAGTTTTCATTAGCTGGGTATTGAATCTATGCTGCACCTGGAGCTTAGCCCAGAATTACAAGTTGTGAAGATCCTGGGGACTGTGGCCCTGGAGGTTTTCCCTCACGTGCCCAAGTTGCATCTGAACTCTGTACAGCTGAAGTTAGAAACACTTCATTGTGTTAGATAAATAGGCAGGAAAGACTCAGATATTTAATTCCAACAAATCTTTGCTTTTTGGTGGGAAAGCATGTTTGGTGTTTTCTGAGTTGGTATGTATTTGGTCATGTAGGAATTAATTACTTAATCTATAGGTTAACACAATAATGCCATTGTAGTTGAAACTCTGTTATCACTGCCTACATTTTTATTGCTTTGACTGAATAATCACTGAGACCATGTCTCCTTCCTGAATTTGAAAGGCTGAGAGGCATGATGCTTTATTTCTCTGTGTTAAAAAGATGGAGTATAGAATTCAGATGTTTTATAATAGAATTTTTTTAATAGAGATTGTGAAACCAATATTGCCAACATGCTGAAAAGTGAGTGTGTAGGACTAGAAAGCATAATTGTGCAATTTGAAAGTTCTATAGCAAGCTGACTTTGCATGTCTATTTTACACAAAGCCAGATTTGAGTTATATATTTTACTAACAGAAAATTATTTCCAGTTCCTTGGATAATATCTGCCACAGTGTGCATGCACATACACTCTAAATTTAATGTTAAAAATGTATTTGTTCACAGCACTACAGCAATCCCTATTTGTAGCTGTAGCTTTGAGACATATTGTCACATAGCTGCCGGACAAAACATTTTCAGCAAACCAATGTGGAGTCTACTGTGTTTATTTGAAATGTTTTGTTAAAATGTTTCTAAGGGTTGAAGGGATGTTTTTTCAAAGCTGCCCTGGGAGATGCAGTAGCACCTCTTGAATGTGCTGGTGTCCAGATTGAGCTCTGATGTGGAGACTTGTGCTGCCATCTAGACCTGAGTTACTTCAGTGCCTGATGAATGGATGGCAGCTCTCAGGAGCCATTCATTGGAAATAAAATATTTCTTTCCTTTGTGCTGACTAGGGCTTAAAAAGCAGCTTTTGAACTATAGTTATACAAGAATGGAGTCTCACATACGGAGTTCTGTTTTTGTTTGCATGAGGAATCTAATGATATGGGATTATTTAAAAATATACCCCTAAAGAACTATCATTTCCCAAATGTAATTATTTTAATTTTTTTAATATATGATTTTTTTTGTGCCTAACAAAGTAGTTTTCACCCCTAAATCATAGGAAACAAAACAGATCCTAGAGTAAAAAAAAACCTGAACAAAAACTCTCCTGCAAGGGAACAAAGCTAATCAGCTTCATTGTAAACAAGCTTGTAATTTTCTGGTTTATTTATTTTCTCTAGCAAAGCTGCCAAGTGAACTTCAGCTGCTTGAGGAAGACCCTTCAGAGTATCAAGCACCTGAGGAAGGCAATGTTGTGTACAAGCTATTCAGTTTGAATGATCTGTTGTTACTCGTGCGTTGCAGTGTGCAGAAAGTCAAGTCACTGACACAGTACCAGAAAAGGAAAAAAGCCCAAAAGGTAAAGATTTTATTTTCAGCATTTTTTGGTTTGTTTTTTTTAAACAGTTTTGCTCATCTGGCATTTCTGGGATTCCCATTCCTTGATAGCATTTATGCTTTCACTGAGACAGTTGGGACTGTGCAGTGTGTCTTCTGTAAGTAAGTACTTGTCATAGCAGGACAGGGAAGAATAACTTGTGATTTCTTTAAAGCTATTTGATTAGAAGATAAGGAAGTGATTCTCCATTTTTACTACAGTAATATGCCTGGGTAAATATTCTTATATTAAAAAAATGTAATTTTGAACTATTCTTAAAAGTTAATGGAGTAATTAGGGGTTTGGCACAAGGCTTTGAGAATGTTCATGATCATAAATACTTTCAAGCAGGATTCACCCTTGCTACCATGCCTAGTTAAGCAGAGAAATAGGAGATAAAATGAACAACAGAGAACACAAAAAGAAATTGTTTGTTTTGCTTGAAAATACTGTGGCATTTCTTAGAAAATAGTTTATCTCATGGAGTTAATTGGTTTGAATGCATCTGTAATCAAAATACTCCTTGCAGCATGAAGAGAAGGAAACTTTATTTTGTAATTCTTTTTTAAGAGTCATGTGAATCATTCAGCAAATTTGTTGTGGTATGTCCCTCCTGAGAATCCCAGAATTACAGCAGGCAGGTGTTTTGTGAGCTGTCTATGCTTCATTGAAATGGAAATAATAATTGTAACACTGATTACTTGCTAAGAGTCTGTGCTTAAAATATTATTTTGAAGAAATCCCATCTTTTTGCTATTGATCTACTGCTCATAAATGTCTGGGAATAACTGCTTCATTATTCAGAAACCAATCACTTGTTTATTTATTTTCTTTTAATTAATTTCTGCTGAAATTTAAACTGTGTGCTGTCAGTGAGAATTGACAGTGTTCATTAACTCGCTAGTTAGGGTAGCCTCTGATTTCAAATGAGAGTCCAAGCATTAGGTTCTAATTTCTAATTTTAAGTGAGATTCTGACAGGAGTGATAAATGGCAGAATTCTGCTAATAATAGGCTAATTAGAAATGTGTGTTTTTTCTTAAATTGCTGCAGAGGGCAGTAGAGCACAGAAGTGTAAACTTGAAATTAATTTAGTCACATGGAAAAATTACTAAGTGTCAGAATATTATTATTTGTAAGAGCTTGCCCAGGCTTTTTTTTTTCTTTTTTTTTTTCCCTGTCGATTTCACCTTTCTCTATATAAAGTCTCTGTACTCTGAAGTTTGTACTGTGGATTTCATAAATTGTGAATCTTCAAACAAAATCTATGAAATGTCTTTGTTACTTCAGCTATGGTGGAGGACTGTGGTTATTATAAACTATAAAATGTGGTTAAATTGTGGAGGTTTTTGGACAGTGAGTGCTAATTTTTCTCTTATCTTATCTTTTTCAGCCAACTCCCATATTCCTGTTGCCAAAACTAGAGTACCAAACCTATTATGGTGTTGAAGCTCTTACAGAAAGTGAAGTGTGCCAGCTATGGACACAGAGTATGCTGCATTCTAAATCTTTATTTTATATTGGTAAGTTCATGTTTTGAGTTTTTGCTTAATACGCATATGTGTGAGTATTTGTAGAATAACAGAAGAGATACTTATTTATTAAAGGTGTATTCCATATATCCTTTTTTATTTCAACTTCCTAATTTTGTTTTGTCATGTCTGCCTTTAGTAGGTTGTCTAAAATTTCTCTTAGGTGCTGGATGAGGAAATTCCAGCTGTGGTTTTAGATAAATAGTATCCATGTCCTGTAGAAAATGCTGTATTCATGTCATTGTACAAAAAAGGGAAGTTTTTATGTCTATTGAGATACAAGTTGTGTAGAGAAATTAATATTCTACATATAAAGAATGTGACCAGATTATTTTAACAACCATTTTAATATATGGAGAGCTTTCTGATACCAACTGTCTTGTAATTAATAAGATTTTAAAAAGGAAAATTTGCAACAAAGTGGTTAGTTGATTCTTAGAATATGCTTGGCATATTCTGTGAGGGCAATCCTGTTTGTACAGTGAGTAAATGTTCTGCTGTGGGGATTGCCTTGCTTTTTCTGTAGAAACAAATCTGGGTTTTAGGGTTGTTATGGCAGCAGTTGTGGCCTGTGGTTGCTTAACCTTTCCACTTCTGTGCTGAATTACACTTTTGCTGTTGTTGGCTCACATCAGAATTTAGAAATCAGCTATTTTAGAAATGCTAGGTTCTCTGTTTTCCAGTTTCTACATACAAACTATGTGAGCTAGCACAGAATTGTTAGGATAATGTGAAATCTAATGTATTTGCCAATACAGTACGGCTTAGTCTGCCCTCTTTATTCAATGGAAATTATGTTTCTAATTTTAAACTTTAAAAGCAGTATTTGATGTGGTTTTTCCATTCCATTAAAAAAGAAATCCTTATGAAGAGCTAATTATGTACAGATCTGTTTGTAACTGTATCTTAATGTACAGTACAGAGGAGTTGCTGCTCTCTGACAAGCAGAGCACTCTGAGTGCATTCTGAATATTTACACTGAGGATATATCCATCATACTGAGCTGCACTGCAGTTGGGCTTCCTATAGGAAACATTATCAAAGATTTTATTAACATTTCCAGAGTGGCAAGCAGTGTGAGGAAACAGGGAACTGTGGAGAGAGGGCTGATATTTGCAAAGTACACAAAGTGGAGGAGTGACTATCTAATCTCCCATCAGTTACAGGAAACTGAAGGTATGGCTTGTACAGGAGTTTGCAGACAGCTCATCCAGCCACCACCTCTTTTTATAGAGGTTCTTGGGAATGTAGGAGACAGCAGGCTGAGTGTGCAGGCATCTTTGCAGATGAGGAGCCACAGAGCCTTCTTCTTCTAGCACAGCTTTCCTCTGTGTATCTCCTGTGTACCTGCTGCTGTGGAGCAGGCAGTGCCCTGGACTGGCAGGCTGCACTGGCCTGGCCTCCAGAACATCTCTGTTCCTATGCTTGAGATAAAGGATCCTTGGGATTGAGAAGTACTGGTTATTCCAGTCATGTTTGTTTGGCAGCTCCTGGATGCACTCTTTCCAGAAGCAAGCTCTGGGGTGCACAGGAGTTCTCCTTTTGTGGGCTCTGAGGAGGCACAGGATTCTGTGGGTTGTCACTGTCCTGCACAGTAAATGGGTATTCCTGGCCTGTGGGCAGATTCTTGGTACTGCCATGTAGTTTCTTACAGAGTAGGTAAAAAAAAAAAAAAAAGTGGAAGTAAATATCCATTCTATGAAAGAGCATCTACCACAGTTTTTAATAGGAAGTTGTTACCATATTCTACTTGGGAAGTCTTCTGCTCTTGCTATATTGCAAAGTAGCTGTGAACTTCTGCCTTTCAGTTTGTATTCCTAAGGGAGCTGTGAAAAATACAGTGTTGCGAGTGTCCAGATTTACTCAGAGGGCTCTCTGCAGCAAAGCTGTCTGAAACTCCAGGGACAGTTCTCTGAGGGTGATGAGAACCTGATGTTATGGGCAACTTAAAATGGGGTGAATCTCTCGTTCTCTGTCACCAATACCTGATAGGAAGACTACTGCAGTGATCTGTTCAGTGTAAGGAGAAAGGCAGAGGGCTTCTGAAATCATGCTGTAATTTGAATTCTTTTAAGTGAAATGCTGTGTTCTATAATAAAAGAATTTTTAAATCTAACATTTTGTAAAGCCATAAACTTACTGCTCTTTTTAAGTTTACCTCACAGTATGAGTGTGGAAGTAGGGAACAATATGGTTTGAAAACTGTCATCTTACTAACTTGCATTCTTGATCAGACCATTAAGCCTTTAAGTTTTAAGCATGTAGCAGACTTCATTGTTCAACTGCATTGGTGTTTGTGGCTCCTGAAAAAGCTTAATTTTCTGTCTCAACCATCTCTTGTATTGTCAAGTAAGCATGGATGAAAAGTTCTTTGGACCTTGGTCTATGCCCCATAATTGTCCAGCACTGTTGTGTGGGACAGAGGGAGGATCTCAGCTCTGCCATGACACAGGACTTGAGACAGAAATCAGATGTGTAACCATGGCCTCCTGCAGCAGCTGAGGTTTTTTTTAGGATATTCTTCTAAACGAAACAAAAAAAAGCAGAGATACTATCATCAAACATAGAGTGCTGTCTTCCTCTTGCTATCAAACCACCTGGCTTGCTGGTAAAGTCGCCTTGCTGCTCAAATAGGAAATCCTGCATCTGCAAAGGCAGTAATCTCTGTGACAAGCTTCCCAAATAAGGCACTTGTACTTGTCTAAGCAGTAAATAAACTTGTGATAAGCTTTGCTGATTAATAGGAGCATTTTACCCTGACCATTATTCACTTATTTGCATTAAGTGCCTAAGCAAATCTTTCTGCAAGAGCAGTTTACCTTATGTGAATGGAATAATACTGGCTTTTAAATTAACATCATTTGAAAAATAGGTAGGAAAAAAATACTTAGTCTTGGGTAACTTACTACATGTCAATTATTTTCAGTCACTTCTTGAATATAAGATACAGTTATATAAACTAGATGGAAGTAGTTCATAGATATTTTGTAATTACTGTTTTTTTTCTCACTTATATTGTCACTGTGTTTAGAAGTAGAGAAGTCTGATTTGAGGAAAGGCTGGTGAGGAATACGGAACTCAAACATATTTTTTAAATTATATTTTTAACAGAGACTTCAAGTATCTTTTTGTAGTCAGCAATGTAGAATACGAAATCTTGCTGCTTAGTCTTGCACAAAATACCAAGAAAAGTATCAAATATATTAAGAAAAGTAACAAATGTAGCATGTTTAAACTAAATCAGTTGTCCTGGTGCATCTTTTTTAATTTGGTGAAGTGAGAGTTATTACTTAGTCTTCTTACACAACACATAAACTTAATGATGGATAGCTTGGAATGTGCAATGCTTTGATTTAGCAGTTTAAACTGTGCAATTGAAGCATTTACTCTTCCTAAGAGAGCTGATTTGTAGTAAGACAGTAAATTCCACTGAGTAGGCTGTATTTTATTATGCTGCCTTTTCCTCATCCTCCTTGTGGGAGCTGAAATAGATTTTTGGGGAAACTTCAGCATGGGAAGAACCAGAAGGCAAGGTGTGGTCATCATCAAATCCATGTCCAAGCTATGCTGGTGGATCCTTATTGCTCATCAAGTGAAATGTGGGCTAAACTCTCCTTGGCAGCCTTTAAAAATGTAATGAGGAGAGCTTTGAATTGTTGCTTCTCATGGTGTCAAAGATAAATAGTTTTAACAACTTGCCATGATCTAGGCCTGACTTGTAAATTGTAATTCCTCAATTGAGGAAGGGGGGGGAAATCAAGAGACAAAGGTCAGCATCCCCAGAAAGTCATGCAATAGATCAGAGTAGAAAAGCAAGTATATTAAATGTAAAAGTAAATTTGTTGGTTAAGATCAGCTTTTGGGATCTGTCCAGTGAGGAAGCAAAGTGATAATGGTGAAATGAACTTGAGAAGATACAAAGTGACTGATGAGATTAAGGCCAGAGCAAGATGAGGTTGTGTCCCACACTCCACCCAAGGTTTGCTGGAAGCAGGCATCTCTTGGTTTAGAAAGACAGTCAAGGTACAGATGCCTGTACTTAAAGCAGCTGCACATTTTACTCTCTGTTATGGTGCAACATTTATAAATACTTTTCACTGTTCTATGCCAAAAAAGCAAAGTTTTTTATCCTTCTAAAAAGGCATTAAATCTGCAAATTATGATCTTACATTTATTTGGTTTTATTTTTAGTGTACTAATTGAATGTCTTTTTTCAGGACATATTGATGCTTTTACATCAAAGCTTATTATGCTAGAAAAGATTACTCCAGCAATTTTAAGAGAAAAACTTGGATTGATTAAGTGAGTATTTTTAGTAAGTTTTTTAGCAATGAATTTCAAACCCTAACAAGCCTTGCAAGTTACTACTTTTGCTATTTTTTTTCTTTCACAGACCTGCAAATTCGTTAAATATACTTCATCATATTTTGAAGAAGGTGTCTGAGTAAGTTCTCTATTGTATTTGTATTGCATTTGTTCATTGTATTTGTTTGCCACATTGCCCAGGTCTTCCTGTTTCTTCTGTAGAATGCTTGTCTACTCTGATTTTTATTTATTCATATACGTGAAGAAATTCATATTTTACAGGTTCTATTAGGTCTATCATAGCATAGTGCAGTACTGTGTAAAATGTGCTTGGTATTACAAGGTTTGCAGAAATTATACAAAAGAATAAGAACTTGAGATTTGTGAACCAGTTTTTCAAGAGAGGAAACTGGACTCTCTTAGGAGCTGAGTAAACAGTTCACAGGAGTGAGGTGTTAACATTACATCTATGGGCTGACACATAGAGTTTCATGTTTGGGTTTTGGCAGTCTTTCTGCTTGATTTGTAGAAATAATACTGTGTTCATTTCTGCTTACCATGACTTAGAGCAGCCTTCCTCTGTACAGCATTGCAGCCTTTCTCCTGCTTCTTTACGTAGCTATTTCAAGGCTTTCAGCCTGCAAGTGTCTTCATTTTTTGTGAAGCATGCTTCTTGCACTCAGTGTGAAGCCTTTTCATTCAAATTAAAGAGGGGCTTTACTGTTCTTCATAAGTTCTGTAGGTTCATGATTTTTGACTAAGATTTTTAGTATGGGCAGTTGGTTGACCTTCATCTTGCTGAAAACCTGTTTAATCCTGTGTGTGTTGAAAGCTCACCTGTTCTTTGTGTCTGTGTCCTTATGGGCATTGTTCTTTGTGAGATGCTGGTTAAGGAATTACAGTTTGCCCAACATGGATAGTTTTCAGTGTATGCTTATGTGTTTATATGACTATGATGACAGTCTACATTGTTGATAAATTAGTACATTATGAATGCATTATAAACACATTAATTAGTAGGTATTTACCAATACAGTTTAATGCTTCGTTGTGCACAGTCTCTTTAGTAAAACATCTAAAGGGACTCAACATCTAAAGATGTTCTGATTTTGCATTTAGAATGTATTAACTATTCTGAGTAAAGAAAAAAACTCCAAAAAACATTTAAATAATATTTTTCATTTGGAACTTTTCTCATTTTAGTTTGGAGGAGGGATCTTATTTATTGACTCACGCTGCAGGAGATTCTTCAGTTGCAATTCACAAGAGTTCTCTTGACAAGAGCACGAGATCATCCTATAACTTGCACAAAGCTCACTGTGATCTGCCTGCTGTACCTGCCACTCTCTCAGTCCCATGGGTTCCCCTGGATCCCAGCCTCCCTTTGCCCTACCACATCATTCATGGAAGAGTTCCGTGCACCTTTCCACCTGCGCCCTGGGAAGGGTGGAAACAGAAGGTCAGTATCTCACTTGATGGAAAAGCAGATCAGCACTTTAGGAGTAGCCTATTTCAGTCCCTTGGGGAACAGCTGATACAGTTTATCTGTCATCTTTGGGGGTCAGAATTTTTTTGGGAATCCATCCTGCTTTGTAATTTGTGTTGATGAATAAGTGATGCCTATCATGCTTTAGAAATTTCCCAAAGATCCTGCTCTCACCTCTGTTATTTTTGAGATAGATTGGCCCTTTAAAAGTAAGAAAATTTTCAAGCATTATTTTTCTTCAGCAGAGACTTACTCATTTGTGTAAAAGCCATGTGTTAACTGTGCCCTACTTCGTGCACCCTGAGATGGTTTGTAGGTTGAGTTACATGTTTCAGCCACAGCCTGGCTTCATATGAGGGCAAAACTGTCATGCATCCGTTCCTAATTACCTTGTGCACTTTGGTTTCTGCCAGAAGGAAATCCGGGCACATAGGCAGGGAAGAGACAGGATTGGCCACTTCTCACTGGTGACTAAAGACCAGCTGTGCCAGTGCAGATGTGTCCTGTGGGTCTGTTTGAAACTACATGAGTTAGAAGGCAGTTGTCTGAATACAGTTGTGTATGTTTGTGCTCAGTACAGATTGAAGATGATTAATTTTGGTAACTCCAGTTTGGTTTTCTGAGGTTTTTTTTTTTGTTTGTTTGTTTGGTTTTTTTTTCCAATTCTCTCCCCTTGTGTGTGTAGATGGCTGGGGTAAAAGGACAGTCGGACACACCCCATGAGGGAAGGCCAGTAGCTATGGAAACAAAAGGCAAGCCAGCTAAGTCTGTTAGAAATGAAGGTGTGGCTCCAAAGAAGCTGGGGAAGAATTTCTGCAAGCAAAGAAAAGTGAAGCAAAAGTGGAAAACTAAATTCAACAAAATGCAACTGAAGTAGGAATAAGCCTGGAGAAGAACAAGAAGACACAAAAAATCTGAGGTTTCTTGCAGCTTCAGAGGAGCCAGAGCAAGCTGGCAGGGGAAATGGCTCCAATAGCTGAAGCGTTCTCTAAACCTTTAACCCTTGGTATCTCAGGGGGCATGTTTCAAGTGAAAATCTCAAAATCAGTCGGAGGAAAAAAGGATATGGCTGCAGCCACTTGGCTGGTTATGGAAAGCAGAGTATCTTCTGTTGGTCTGATGGTTTTTATAGAAAAGCTGCATCTTGAAAAGTGAAGCAGTGGCTGACAACAATCTCTAATACCGTGTAGTGAGAAAAATAGCTTTTCAGCTTTCCCAGTTCTTCCAGATTCACTACAGATTTTTGTTGTCTCATATTTTAAAGATACATTTTACTTCATGCATTGTGTATACAACTTGTATTTAATTATCTAGCTTTTTTGACACATGGTGTCTACTGACATTTAAATAACTCAGAAAAATACATTTTTAGAATGGTGTAACAAATGAAGGACAAAAGCTGTGTTTATTTGAATAGTAAGGGCCATAAATTTCCATTGGAAAACTTAAAAGTACAGCTAAAGAAGTAAAATAATAACAGGAGAGCTGCATTTTTGCATGTTTAAACTGCTATCACAAAAAACAGAGGTCTTAAAGGTGTTCTTCCAAGTCTTTTGTTTGGACTGAGGAAGTTACCAAGTACACACATCTGATCAGGCATTCTTCTGCTCACTGGGACTTGATAGGACATGTTTTAATGTCATGAGGGTAAAAATAAAAAAAATTGTTTACTGGAGTATACCTGCTAAAAAATCCTGAAAGTAGGTATTTTTTTTTTTTAATCAGGCTTCAATAATGAATGTATATTAAAAACATCTTTGTGAAATACAAAGCATTTTCTGATGTGGCTTTTTCCAACTGTTAGATATATTTATTCAGTTATTGTTTATTCTTTTTTTGGACCACTGCTTGTTTTATCTGCACTATTAAGCTATTGATAAGCTGAACTTGTGTTTGCAATTTACAAATAGTTCTGATTTAAAATCCTGAATGCCCTTAGAGACTTCTCATAGTAGGAATATTTTAGCTGTGAGTCATTTTCCCAGATAACTGGCTCTGGGGGATTCAAGGCACTTTTCAGTTTGTATATATAAAACTTTTTGCCAGACTTGTATGGAATTTAGTTTCCTAATGCAGTTTCATGAGATAGAAATGTATGGTCTGTTTATCTGTCTCTATGCCTTTTACCTTACACTGGTATATTATTAATTGTAGTGTTCTAGTTGTAGAACTGCAATGGAGCAGCCTGTGCTGCTGCTTGGCATTGTTGCATTGTGGGTGCAGGGCTTCATCTCTGCTAAGGCTCCTGCAATTCTCGTTGGCCTGGTTGTGCAGGCTGTCCAAGTCTCTCTGGAGAGTGGCATATCTGTCCCCTCTGCCTCCCTCTTCTGCCTATTTGGTGTCATCTGCAAACTCAAGAAAATTGATTTGGTCACATTATCCAGCTGAGACAAAAATACTGAGTAGTGCCAGACCCTGAGAAGCTCTGTCCATGAACTGCTGTCCTGGTTCAGCTTTGAGCTACAAGCCACCCGAAATGGAGGAAGGTCTCTGAGGTGTTCCATGCTGTGTGAGATCACTGATGGATGTCTGGTTCTCCCCATTCACTGGTGTTCATCAGGAGATGAAACTGGCTTTGTATCGTGTTCAGACAGTTTGAAGTTAGTTTTGGAGGACTGGAGGAGATGATGTGACCTAGCATTTGAGGCGATTCGTTGGTCTGTATGCAAAAAAATTTATCAGCTCATTATGTTAGTGTGAGTGGGTTATTGGCTGTGAAATCTGACTTTTCCTCATTTCTGTTGTAATGAGAATTTTTAGATGTCATTTGCACTATGCACTGATAAACTGCTTCCATTCTAATATGTGACTGGCTAAATCTCTTCACCTTTTCTGTCTGACTGCAAACACTTTTAGGAATGCAGTAGAAGCTGTCTATGTCAAATACATCAGGACAGATTTGCTGCATTTTTTCTGTTCTTCTGATGTAGCCTAGCAGCTGGAAGCACAGAGAACTTGGGACCAAGTGACCACTCATCCATTCTGGTGCTGGAAGGTGGGAAATGCCAGAAGCAAGGGACTCTGCCCACCTCCATGCTGTGAGGTTCAGTAGCAGTTATTGAGCCATTTGAACAGGTATTTCTTTTGCTTCTGATTTTTTTGCCCTGTGTTTTAAATAGCAGCTTGTTTCCAAAAGAAGATAAAAGTCAGGTCAGGTGTAGTCTTTCAAAATGCTTAGTGCTGACCTGCATTTAAGCTTGCTTCTAGTTCTACTGCTAGAAGTTGCACCATTTTCAGTCTGTCCCCCTGTTGAAGTCTGCATGTATAACTTTCTCAGATGATTCTCTGAGAAGTTATATAACTAAGCTTTTTCTTTCTTAATGAAATATGTTGTTTCCTATAGTGTGGGTACAGTCCTTCCCAGAAATACTGTCATTGCTTGGTATGTTAAATTTCTCTGTACTAAAAATATATTCACCTTTTTTTTTTTAGTTGCTCTTGAAATGCTTTTTTCTACAGAGATTCTTAAAGTTTATTTGCAAGTTCAAATTCTGTTTCTGTATATCCAAATCATTGCACGAAAAGGTTTTCAAAAATACATTGCTGTATTATAAATCTCAAATTAAATTTCCTTCTCAATGCCAGAAAATGCCTTTGATGGCAAGGTGACAGTCTATTTAAGCATAAAGCATTTGAATTATGCCCTTCTTAGCCATTCTGAGCCTTATGAAGGTGTGTAGATAATCTCAGGGTGCTCTTATTCATGGCTGTGTCTGAAGGGTGAGCTAGTCCCCATCTTGCTGTAGGACTGAGGAGACATTGTGATATAATTTGCTGAGGGGATTTTTTGTTGGTTTTATGGAATAAAATATACTGCCAATTTTTAAAATGTAGAATAATTTAGTGTAATGATTATTACATAGTAGCAGTCCTAGTGCAGCCTTCAGGGCATTTCTCAGTATTGATGCTACTGCTTAACAGTGAAAAAAAAAAAAAGCCCCATTTTTCCCCAAGACAGCATGGCAGCTTTGTAGAGGTAGTAGAGAAAACAGTCTTGTTATTGTTTGTGACTAAAATATTTCAATAAATATTAGAAGAGTGTCACTTGAAAATCAGTATTAAAAAAACATAAGGTAGGAGTAACTATGTGGGGAAGGGAGGGGCTGTTACAGACCCTAGTGACATCTTCTCTGATTCTTGAAGTGCAGCAGCCACATCCTTTTGAGTATTCACAGCACGTTTTTACAAGTGTGCATTTCCTATTTTTGATAGCCCTAATAGAGGAAAAGTATTTCTTTATTTCTTGAAATGGGCAATGTCCTTGTTGAGAGGAGCCAGAAGGAAAAGGATCCTGGTGTTGACCAAAGCTATAAAATCTAATTGGCCTCTTTGCTTCCTTCAGCTTGACGGGGCCGCTCCCACTGCAGTGCACAGAGCCAGCTGTTCCAAAACATGCATGAATACATTTCAGTTGCACTGGGATTTATTTAGAGGTACTTTGCTCAGCAGTTTTTCACCTGTGCATGAGATTCCTCCATTGTATGGCAGCATGATTGGCCAGGAATGTCACCTTACTTGCCTGTGCCTCAAGAAAAGCACGTACCACAAGCCTCTCATTTCTCACTTACTGCCAAGTGAATGCAGTTTGGGAAGAAAGAAAAGAGCAAGTTCTACCATGGCAGATATAATCAGGAACCTTTAACAAAGTTAATCTAGAGTTTTAAAATAGCTGTAGGTTTTAGTAAACCTTGAAGTACTTCTGAGTGTTTCAAGCCTTTTGATACTCAAGGGCATGTAATTGAAATTGTACTTTTGAAATTTTACTTAGAAGTGACACCTATAGACTCCCTGTCCATTCCCCACCATTGCCTTGTCCACACAGTCCTGAATTTTTGCATAATTTCAGTTTTCTAGGAGCTAATGCCTTCAGAGAAATAACAAACATGAGACTCTGTGATACCCAAGGATGCTGATAACATTATCTAAATGTGGTCAGTCATTCACTAGCACTGCACTGTGTGAGCACTGTGAGA